GGAGGAGAAAAACGCAACACACACCCACGCGCCCCAAACTACTATGAGAACGGCGCCGCACCCGCAACCCCGCACCTCCAACCCTCGCCTCAGTTGCCAGACCCCTCCAGTTTATCCACGTTATTTTCCTTTATTTTTTTCTGTTTTTTTCTCTCATTCTCTTTTTTTGTTTTTTTTGGAATCCAACAGCGGATAATAGGGGGGTTAAAAGGGGGGGAAAAAATGGCGAGTCAGTGGCGAAAATGGCGGTGTACATGTATTTTCACGAAAATATTTACACATTTTCGTGCACAGCGGATATGTACACATCCGCAGATGTCTACTTTTGAAATAATAATACGAGAGGTGTAAAAGTGCGACATGGAGTACAAGGCAAAATAGGGTGTTTTCATGTGCGACATAGGGTGCACACATATGTAGCACTAAGTGTAAAGTGTAGTTTCTTTGCTGTACAACAGAGACGCGCATGTAACACGATGTGGGGAAAAGTAGCAATTTTTTTATTTATTTTATTATATTATATATATATATATATATATATATATATAATATAATATTATTTTATTATTTATATATATATATATACAAAAATAAAAAGATTGACCCGAGTCGAATTGAACAAAAAAATTATAGACACTGTAAGTGAAATCTAGCACTACCTGACCGTAGAGTTTCGGCACCTACTTAAGATTTTTTCATTTTGGGTTACCCCCCTACCTTTTTTATTTTAAATTTTTATTTTAATTTTATTATTATTATTATTATTATTTTTTTAAAAATTAGATTTAATTATTATTATTATTTTATTATTATTATTATTACGATTTAAAATTTTTATTTATTATTTTTTATTATTTTTTTATTATTTTATTTTTATTTTATTTTTATTATTATTTTATTTTATTATTACGATTTAATTTTATTATTATTTAAATTTTTATTATTTTTTTTTATTATTTTTTTTATTAGATTTAAATTTTATTTTTTTTTATTTTATTTTTTTTTATTATTATTATTATTAATTTTATTTTATTATTTTTATTATTATGATTATTATTTTTTTTTATTATTATTATTTATTTATTCACAAAAAATCGAAATAAAAGGGAATGTTTGTATTGGCTTTTTAAAAATTTGGGGCTTTGATTCAGGAATACAGACAAGAGATTCACCCCACTTAACGTATATGTAAATTTTGCTGTCGTGTAGCGGGGGGGGGAGGGGAGCCCCACGATGGTCGATAGGATTCAAAAACCTTACACGGCATTTAAATGAGGGAGGGGATAGAGTAGTATTTATATATTAAATTAAGAGTGTGGGGGAGTAAATACAATCTTCGTGAAGGTAATTAAGTCAAATTTAATAATAATAAAAGTAATAATAATAATAATAAGGAGAAGAAGAAGAGGAAGAAGAAGAAGAATAAGACTTAGAAGAAGAAGAGGAAGAGTAAGAATAAGAGAAAGAAGAAGAGGAAGAGTAAGAATAAGAGAAAGAAGAAGATTTGTCTTACAAATTTGTATCAGGGTATTTTTCTTCTTCTGGCCACTAAAGCAGTATTATTCTTGTTTGTTTCCCTGAAAATGTACGGAAAAACGAAAGAGAGATCCCCCTCCCTCCCACCCTCCCTCCCACCCTCCCTCCCACCCTCCCTAACCCTCCCTCCCACCCTCCCTCCAAGCCTCCCTCCCACCCTCCCTAACCCCTCCTCCCACCCTCCCTCCAAGCCTCCCTCCCACCCTCCCTAACCCTCCCTCCCACCCTCCCTCCCACCCCCTCCCACCCTCCCTAACCCTCCCTCCCACCCTCCCTCCCACCTCCCTAACCCTCCCTTCCCAACATTTACCAACTGTCAGACAACAACAACAGCTGATACGTTCACATCAACACTACAAACAATATGGAGCCATTTGAGGTCAAAATACGTAAGAAACATATTGAAGTCTGCGTTTAGGGCTTTCCTCTCTGTCTGTCTGTCTCTCTCTCTTTCTCTCTCTCTCCCTCTCTCTCTCTCTCTCTCTCTCTCTCTCTCTCTCTCTCTCTCTCTCTCTCTCTTTATCTTTCTCTCTCTCTCTTCTCTCTCTCTCTCTCTCTCTCTCTCCTCTCTCTCTCTCTCTCTCTCTCTCTCTCTTCTCTCTCTCTCTCTCTCTCTCTCTCTCTCTCTCTCTCTCTCTACTCTCTCTCTCTCTCTCTCTCTCTCTCTCTCTTCTCTCTCTCTCTCTCTCTCTCTCTCTCTCTCTCTCCTTCCTCTCTCTCTCTCTCTCTCTCTCTTATCTTTCTCTCTCTCTCTCTCTCTCTCTCTCTCTCTCTCTCTCTCTCTCTCTCTCTCTCTCTCTCTCTCTCTCTCTCCTCTCTCTCTCTTCTCTATCTCTCTCTCTCTCTCTCTCGCCCATACATGTCAAAGCATGATTAACTTGTCTTTACGGTTAACCTTAAAACATAAAGAAAGGTTTAATATCCAGAAATAATACCGTGAGGCATGTGCCAGTGTGTGTGTGTG